AAGACCAAGCCTCCAGTGGTGTATTAGATCCTATGCCCTCTCAAAGGCTTGGCTCTAGCAATTCTCCCTCCTCTCTAATGCATCATTAAAATTTCCCTCTTTACTAGATCATTCCCATCAGTATATAAACAATCTGTAGTTTCTCCCATCTTAAGAAAAAAGCCCAAAGCCCCCAAAACTCTCTTGGCCTTCCATCCCCATTCAGCATTGTCCCATTTTTCTACTCTCCTTTATAGACTCCTCAAAAGAATTATTTCACCAACTCCACTTCATTACCTTCTAGTCTCTCTTGAACCCACTCCACTCGGGTTTTCCCTGCACCATTCCACAGTAACTGCTCTCATAAAGGTAATCAGTAAAGGGACTTCCCTGGCGGTCCAGTGGTTAAGACTCCGTGCTTCCACTGCAGGGGTGCAGTTTCCATCCAAAAAGTAAAAAAAAAAAAAAGTCATCAAGTAACCTCTGCATTGCTAAATCCAATGCTCAATTCAATTTAGTCTTCGTCTCAGAGAGATTTTTCTCCTGCCTTCCTTGTCTTGGATACTGGCAAGGCCATCTAATCTGATCATCCTCACTAGTTGTGAAGTCATCTTTTACTTCTTCTTCCCTCTTATCCAAGCCGTTGCTAAATCTTGTCAACCCAATAACCCAAATATCATTCTAATCTATCTTCTTTCTGTCCTCACTAATCTTGCCAGAATCAGCTCTTGTCTGGATGGCAACTGCGTTTTTTTTGTTTTTGTTTTTTGCCATGCCATGCGGCTGGCAGAATCTTAGTTTCCCGACCAGGGATCGAACCTGCGCCCTGAGCAGTGAAAGTGTGGAGTCCTAACCACTGGACCACTAGGGAATTCCCGGCAACTGTTTTGAAGTCTGCCCCACACAGCTCCTGGAATTCTCTTGCTAAAGCACGGATATGATCCACACCGCTCTCTTCACAAACAGCTCTGTAAGTTTTTCATTTGCTGTGGAATAAAGCAAAACCCCCTTAGCGTAATATTTAAGGCTTTTCATCATCTGGCACCATCCTTCCTTCATAGCTATGGATCCTGCTGCTCCTCCCAACACATCTTATATTCCAGCCACCATTACTGCATGCTTCTGCCCCTCTATCCTCACTGGTCCCACTGCCTGGAGTGTTCTTTTCTCCATTTTTTTTTTTCCTGTTTGAGAATTCTTCTTATTAAGCACAATAAAAATAATGATGATTTTTGAAAATCTCTTATATGCCAAGTACCAAGTATTACGTTAAATATTATACATGTATTATCTCATTTAATTCTCAGAAAAATGAAATAACTTCCCGAAGTTAAAACAGCTAGAAGGGCTTCCCTGGTGGTGCAGTGGTTGAGAGTCCACCTGCCAATGCAGGGGACACGAGTTCGTGCCCCGGTCCGGGAGGATCCCGCATGCTGTGGAGCGGCTGGGCCCGTGAGCCATGGCCACTGAGCCTGCGCGTCTGGAGCCTGTGCTCTGCAACGGGAGAGGCCACAACAGTGATAGGCCCACGTACCGCAAAAACAAAACAAAACAAAACAAAACAGCTAGAAAATGGCTGATCTAGGATTTGAACTCAGTTCATGATCTAACAGTATTGACAAACTTTTCTCTGATTCCCCATCACAATTAGTTGCTTTTTCCTCTGTGTTCCAATAGAAGGTTTTTTTTTGTTTTTTGTTTCATTTTGTTTTGTTTTAGTTCACTACATAGAAGCAGTTTTATCATAGAGTAAACACACAGACTCTGAAGCCAGACTCCCTGAGTTTGAGTCCTGGATCTGTGGCTTGCCAGCTGTGAGATCTGGTGCCTCAGTATATTTATTTATCTTTGAAATGGGAAAGATAATAGTACATATCTCAGGATTGTTGTGAAGATTAAATGCATCAACCAATGTAAAGGGTTTAGCACAGTGCCTGTTACATAGCACTGGCCTCATGGGAATATTCTGTCCTGTCTATGTTATATCTCCTTCACTAGACTCTGGCCTCCTAGAAGAGGACAATCCTTCATTCATCTTCCAATCCTCCTGCACCCAGCACGCAGACCTTTCACTAGATGGGTGCTCCATAAACATTTGCCAAATTGAATGTGTCAGTCTGTGGGTGTTTCTGCCAGACAGTGTGACATTTACAGGTTCACGATCTATGGTGTGCTTCAATTACCTAAGAGTCTTTTTAGAAAAAGTGGTTGCTGAATTCGGGCAGGCCATTCAAAAGCTCTGCCCTGTTTCCAAAAATCCAGGTCATTACCACTCTGCTTCTGTGAACCGGAAGTCTTTCCGCAAGTTCCCTCACTTGTGAGGCCAAGACTTTCCTTGTGGGAAGGACAAAAGGGACACCTGTCACATGGTTAAGATTTCTCAGGGGCAGCTGGAGTTATTTAGTTGGAGTTTTCCTCTCCAGTGAGCAGGGACCGGGTTGGGAGCTTTGGGTTTCATTTCTAACCACCAGCACGGGGTACCTGCTTGGGATGGAGACTCCAGACCCAAAAGAGGCTACAATCACAAGGCAGGAGGCCCAGGGATTCCTGGGAGGGTGGTGGCTCAAGTTACATCACATTATTTCACTGCCTTCACACGTTTATTTATTGCCTCACTAGGTGAGGCTGCAGGAGTGAGTTGGCAGGAAGAGGCTTCAAAGGAGAGTGAAAATGGTAGAAAAGGAAATATTTGATTAGAGGTTAACATGTCCCCTGGGGCTTCTTTGATTTGGATTATTCTAAAAGTACACAGTGTAATGATTAAGTACTCCGGGTTGGGGGGGGGGAGGGGGGAGTGGTCTCTGTACAGAGTTGGGGCTTTGTTTCTCATGAGTTGCGGCTGCTGTGTAAAAGGCGCACTAAACCAAACAGGCAGGGAGAAGAGGAGCTCACAGGACCAGAGTGACTGTGCTAAAGTCATCATCTTCACCTAAGCCCGCGCTTTCTCCAGTCCTGCACCTCAGTGAACACCTGCAAGTTGCTTTGGCTATAACCTGAAGTCAGCCTACAACCCTCTGTCTCTCTCTGTCACCAGATCCTGTTCACTTTCTCTCCTAAAGGTCTTTCAAATCCATTTCCTTCTTTCTACCTCCACTGGCACTGTCCTTGAGGGTTCAGAGCCTCATGTCTTCTCGGATTATATCTTTCTTACCGGGTTCTTGGTCTCGAGTCTTAGTCCTCCCACTCCGTTCTCCATGTTACTGTCAGAGGGATTTTTCTAAACTAGCTTAAAATCCATCAGTGGCTCTCCGTGGTCTTACAGATCAAGTGCTCCCCAGAGTCTGGCTTGTGAGGCTCTTGGGGTTCTGGTCCTGCTTCTCTGGCTTGTGTCCTCCATACCTGTGAGCTCCTTCACAATCCTGCTCTGCATGCAGTTCCCAGAATGTGCAGTATTTGCTCTCAAGCCTTCGGCGCTTGCTCTTCCTTCTGTCCAGAATACCTCCCTTCCTCCCCTAGTTTCTCTCTTTCTCCCTTACTCCTCCTTGGGTTGAATGAGGTTTCCCTCACCTGGGCCCCCATAGCCATATTGTACCACTTATCACAAACTGTATCCAACCTCTAACTGAGCAGAGTGAATTGCTTACCAGCACGTAGCTCTAGCACACAATAGTTGCTCAGTAAAAATCTGATAAATGAATGAACTCTTTACTATTCATATTAGGGTTCAATCATAGTTCAAGGAAGGAGACTTGAATCGCTTGGCTCTGAAAGAAGGAACCAGAACAATTATTGCAATTATGTTCTTTGTTGGGTAGAATTTCACACTTGATAAAAGGATTGTGAGGTTTTTTTTGTTTTGTTTTGTTTTGTTTTGTTTTTGCAGTACGCGGGCCTCTCACTGTTGTGGCCTCTCCCGTCGCGGAGCACAGGCTCCGGACACGCAGGCCCAGCGGCCATGGCTCACGGGCCCAGCCGCTCTGCGGCATGTGGGATCTCCCCGGACCGGGGCACGAACCCGCGTCCCCTGCATCGGCAGGTGGACTCCCAACCACTGCGCCACCAGGGAAGCCCCGGATTGTGAGGTTTTGTGTTTCTTCAAGCTAAAGTGATTTAAGCCTACTTTGAAGACCAGTTTAAAGGCCTCTTCTCCAGACGATAAAACAGAGTACTTGTCAGCTTTGAGGCGTTCCGGAATTATTCTCACCAAGCAAGTGTCTCCAGAAATGTCATACCTGCTGCTTTTAAAATGTTATTCTAAGGCCACAGTTAAACAAGTATCTCACTCAGGAGAGGTGTGAGAGGTGGGCAAGTGAATCATGAAATGAAATCTGCCTACAGGGCTGAGACCAGCACACACAGGAACCAACGGCAGTGAAATAAACTGGGGTAACACCAAGGAAATATACCCATTAACACAAAGGGAGCCTACTACATAGCAGATTTCCACTGTACATAAAGGAGACACCTTCTTTCAACACAGAGACTAAAAACTGAAATGAGGTAGTGAGCCCTCTGCCACTCCAAGTGTCCCAGTCTCTTCAACCGCTGCCGGGGCTCTGGGCGACAGACTCCGATGGAAGCGGTGCAAGGTGCAAAGGGCTGAGGCGTCTTTTGGCTCTTCCAAGGTAGATTTTTTAGAACCTTTGGATATTTTCGAGTCCTTTGAGTCTTTCTAACCTTTTGATTCTTTCAATTCTCGGTTCTAAGCGTTAAAGCGCCGCTAGGAAAAGCTGCAACAAAGATGGGAAGGAAGCTAGTGAGAGTATCAGAGAAAAGGGGGTGAGAATTTAAGGGGTAAGCCAGAAAGAAGAGACTGAGGGAGTAGAGGAGAAGCGGAGCAAACGCAGAAGGGAAACGGGGAGGAGGGAAAGAGA